AAATGAGGAATCCAAGGTCAAATTCATTTCATTAACTTATTTACTAATATCTTTAGGAAAGGCATGAATCCAACTCTTGTTTCTTTCTTATGTGTGCTTATTAGGAGGCATAGAAGAATAATGGATTGCAGGTCAGATTGAGGAATCGGAAGGTTGTGTTCCTTACATTCACTTACATGCTAATACCCTTGGAAAAGTTAGGAATACATTTCTTCCCACCACCCCAGGAATGGGTAAATAGCAAGACAGACTGGGTCCTATAGCCTTAGGTGAGGAATAGCATGTAGAAGGACTGTACAACAATCACGTTGTCAGGACAAACACTCAGTTGTGGAACAAGCTGAGAAAAGACCCTTCCACCTTGAGAAAGAGAGCTATTTATGGTGCCATGGAGCATCTCATTGTGCTCAAGTGGGATAGTCCATTGCTTGGGCTGTGATTGGCTGCTGGTACCTGAGTGGAAGTATTTCTGTATAAATACCAGTTTGATTCCAGTCAGTTTTCAGGGTTTGTATTGAGTTACAACCTGCTTTATTTTTGTCTATCAGCTGGATGCTTGCTGGGGACCATTATGCCAGTAAGTGTTATTCTATTGTTATTCTACAAGGACAACTCTGATTTCAAAACCTGAGATGTGCATGGGGGGTGCATTTGGGGGACCAGTTTTCTCTATTCGGCTCTTCCAAAATGTATGATTGGTTCTGCACAAGCCTTCACCACTATAATCAAATGATATGTGCATTAAGTTTGGATGTTGGTTCTAAGAACTGACCTACTTGACTATCATGCATCAAAAATGACAAGTTAGGATAGTCCAGTATAAATAAATACATACTGTTGTAACCTAGGGAAGGTTACTGAATAGAATAATCAAATGAAGGTTGGTAATGAACGATAATACTTAGGACAAGAACAACATATATAAGATTCGCCAGTGGCACGTAGAGGTAGTAGTCAACTGCTAGAAGTGAGTCAAGTGAATCCCACAATGAATTGTCTACTGCAGACCAACATACAGTATTTATTACTGTATTTATGTGAATAGGGACATACCAATTATTGTCTGTATAAATGCTACAACAGATAGATACATACATATATACATATATAGACTGATATATAGATAGATAGTGTTGTAACTTAAGGGAGTTTACTGAACAGAATAATGACAGAAGGTTGGTAATGAACAATAATACTTAGAACAAGAACAATGGTGTGTAAAAGAAGTAGTCAACTGCTAGTAGTGAGTCAAGTGAATTACAAAATGAATCTTCAACTGCCGACCAATATACAGTATTTACTAATTTATTTATATGAATGAGGACATACGCATTATTGTCTGTAGGTATGCTACAGCATATATATACACACACACACACACATATATATACATAAAATTATTTGAAAGATTCTGTGAAAAAACTTGTTGTATAGACTAAACTAAGAATTGGTAGGGAAAAAACTTGTACTATTTATTTAGAATGTATGTATTTTTACAGAGAAATATTAAAATCAAACTTTGTTACTTACAATTGGATTTTCAGTGGGGTTTTTTTTGTTTTTTTTTCCAGAAAAATAATTTGTTGTTTTACTTTTTTTTACTTTAACTGGTTTCCAGTTTTCTGCATTCAACATATTCTCATCATTATTTTCTGAATTCATATATATATTTGATCAAAACTATTACACATATCAATTTGGCATTTAATCTCCTTCAAAGTAGTCCCCTTCTGAAGCTACACACTTTATCTAACATTGTTTCCATTGATGGAAGCATTACTGGGACCCTTTTTTCTGGGATAGTGAGCAGTTGCCATGTTCCATTCTCTTGGATTTCCTCAACATCTTCAAATCCTTTCATGTGCGATTTGATTTTTGAAGAGCAAAAAGTTGCAAGATCTGAGGGATAGTGGTTGGTGAAACCTGGGGAATGTTGTCCTTGATGAAATACTGTTGCGCAAACCATAGTCCCTGATGGAACATCTGTGCTGTGGTAAGACGACCACACTCTATACATTTTCTTTACAAGCACTACTATAAACAATGAAAGTGACTGAGAAAATATCTTAATATGCATGCATGACAGAGTTCAAGGTCAATCTGTGCTAAGCAGCTTCATTCTGTGTACTTTAACTTTGTTACCAAATCAACAGTTCCAACACTTTTTAATCAGACTTTGTGTGTATATATATATATATATATATATATATATATATATATATATATATATATATATATATGTTGTATGTTGTAATGGATATCGGCTCAGAATGGGAACTCAAAGAGCTGAGTTCAAATTCATTTATGCACAAATAACCTCTCTTCTCCCCCCAGCTATGAGTTGAATAGCAGGCCAGACTGGGGTTTTTAGCCTTGGTTGGCAACCAGTCTATTGCAGAAAGAAATGGCAACCAACTGTGGGAAAAAATCTTCTGCTTCGTCAGTCATGTATCAAAAGATACTTGGCCACTCATGGATGTATCATGTGTGGCACTTAACTGACTGATATATATGTGTGTATGTGTGTGGAGCCCCGTTCCAGAATTGTAGAGAAATGCTAATACTGAAAACTCATCACACAGAAAGTAACTAAATTTTTGTACAAAATCGGCTCCAGTTATTTGTTTATCATATACTAACACAATTCATTCAGTTATATTATAAAAAGGTCACAAAACATTTTGTGTGAAGTTGTTCAGAAAGTATTTTTGTAAGCTATTTCTTTCAATTCAAAAGAAAAATAATATTCCAATAAATAAAAATTATTAAAATTTCGATGCGTTGCATCTAACCTTAAAAACCTGCCCTGCATTACTGACAACTTCCTAGCTTGTAGATTTTTTTTTTTTTTTTTTTGCAATCCAAGTCTGATGGCGATGCAGCAACACATACAGGTCTGATTTCACTGTCGTTCACACAAGTGTGGTGGTGTAGAGTTTAAGTGAAGTGCTGGACATGTCAGTAATGGTTATGCTCATTTTGCAAGTTAACAGCCACCACACACACATATATATATATATATATATATATATATATATATATATATATATATATGACTAATACGAATATAAAATTTGTCTCTTAGCTGAATGATGTTAAATTCAGCATATAAAGAATTAATGAATTTTATTTTTTAATCCAATATATTTTATTATTTTAAAATATGCAAATATTTATTTGAAAAATAATATCTCAATGTTAGTCATTGAGATCAAAGACATTGGTCTAACTAAAACCAACAAAGATGAGAGTATTAGCTGAAAGTATCTTGTGGCTGTGTGTTGAGGGTTAATTATCATTTCTAATGCAATTTAACAACAGGTCTGTAATATTGCATCATTAATACTAGTAGTTGGTACACGTAAATGATTATATTCATTCTCAGAAGGAAGTTGTTCTAATTGGTTATTCAATCATGATTTCAATTTCTATTGCATTCTGGGAATTTCTGCCTTGCATATTCACACTAAAGTACGGTGATCAAGAAAATTTTTGTCCAACTGAAGTTGGCTGCTGAATAGGAATTAACTAAGAATTTTTATTCAGGGTGTTGATATTTCTTGATAAAATCCCTTTGTTCTTGCATTTAGAAAAAAAAAAAAGAAAGCTTAGTGACTTTGAATTTAATCCAGATTACCATGTAAAAGATGACAAAAAAAAAATAATCAAATCTGAGAATGTATTAAAGTGAACACAAGTGCTCTCTTTCTCCTCTTCATGATTCAGTATTTTAATCTTTATCATTGATCTTTTTTTTTTCCTTGAGTGGAAAATGGTGTTTTTATGAAAAATGCATTTTAGCCCTGTTTGAAGAACTGCGCACAAGTTACTGATGTTATTCTGAAATAATCCTGTATGTGTATGTTTGCATAGATCTTCTTCTTCTATGTGCCATATCCCTTTTGAACGTTGGCAATAATGCCTCTCCACAGCTTCCCATCCTTTGTAGTTCTTAATATATTATGTCATCTCTCCTAAATGTTATTTCAAAATAATCCTGCATGTTTATATTTGCACAGATCTTCTTATTCTATGTGCTGTATCCCTTCAGAATGTTGGCAATAATGGCTCTCCACAACTTCTCATCCTTTCTAGTTCTTAATATATTATGTCATCTCTCCTAAATCCTATTCCACTGTTCAATTACTCAAGCCCACTAAGTATCTTGTGTTGTTTTCCTCTGTAACCTCTTGCTTTCAGTATGACCTGTGAGTATTAAATTTTCCAAGCCCTCATTATGCGCCAAAGAAATTTTAATTGTCTATTCATGATGATAAGTATACGTGTCCTTTTTGTTTCTATTTTCTCTAAAACTTCCTCATTGCTCACATATTCAGTCCATGTTATTCTCAGCTTCCTTCTGTAGAATCACATTTCTGTTGCTTCAAGTATGTTTTTCATCTATGAGATTATCAAGTATTCACTGCCATGTAGGAGGACTGATATTATGTAATTATTAGTTCAGTACTCTTCTTTTTTTGTTTCTAAGGAAATTTTCCTTTTTCTTAATATTTTGCTTAGCTTTTGAAAGGTACCTTTCACTTGCCCAATGTACCGTCAATTTTCAGTGTCACTCTTTCTATCCTCTATTAAAACATTTTGCAGATATTCAAATTTTTGCAAAGAAGATACTGAGAAAGTTACCAGGATTAAGGAGAGAATGGATTTACTAAAAAAACAGTCCCGTCTTTAAAAAAACAACAAAAAGAAACTTTCATTCTCAACTATTCAGCTTAGTTTAGATTTGTTTTTTTTATGGTTTATCAGACCTTTGCAGGTTATTTAAAGCCAGAAAATATTCTTAGAGTGTAAAAATCTATTGAAGATAATAATATACTGATACAAGTCCTATTAATTAACCCATAGCTGGGGGAAAAGATGTGGATTCCCAAGAGTATTTGGCCATAAGTGATTATAAAGAAAGCAACTGGAATTGAAACTCTGATCTCCAATGTTCAATTCTGAAACATTATCCATTACATCACCAACACATTCAACCTTCCAGCACCTGTTATTTCTAAGTGGTCACCCATCTAGGTACTGACCAGGCTCACTGTTGCTTAACTTCAGTAATCATGAGAACTGGTATTTCAGCATGATATGACCATAAGTTTACTATCCAGTTTGGATATGGTAAACAATTGTTATATTACCTTAATCAAGATCACCTTTTGTTTCACAAACACATTTCCCTAGACACAGATATGGAAGCTCAGAAAACAAACTCCTATTTCTATTTCACCTATTGCCTGGTTCATACACTGCCCTGATTTTTTGAACAGGATTAGAGGTTTATCCCTTGTTTCCTGTTTAGGATTGGGTTTCCGGTTCCTTCTAAAGTCTCCGACTGAGCTCAGAAATTTTATTCACCAATGATTTTTTCTTTCCTCCCAATAGAGATAGATACATTCCTTCACAGTCTTTTGAACAGGAGTAGAGGTTTGTCCCTTGTTTTCCATTTAGAATTGGTTTTTCAATTCCATCAACTTTGTACTTCTGACATCACCACCTGAAATCTGAAATTATCTTTAGTAATTATTATTATTTTTATTGTTGAAATTTTTATCCTTGTTTGTACTTTCTTTTGCAACCATGTGCCCATTTTAATACAATTCATCTTTCAAAATAATGACAACCTGAAATATACATTGAAAACCACCTTAAAATGGTTTATGAAAAATGAAGTTAAGGTTAATGGAAAAGCCTTCTCGATCACCTGACCTTTATCCAATTGAGCAGTTGCATGAATTGAAAATTCATAAACAGAAAGCATTGACTGATAGCAATTTGGAACCATCAAAAATAGCAAGTGAGACCTGCAGAAGTCATATGAAATTCTTTAGATACCTGCTGTGGAATATAGGTCCACAGACTTGCCATGATAAGAATTGCTGCTGTGCTTTCCATAACAAATAGATTTTTATGGGGGTGAAGTTGCTGGCCCCTTGTCCACTTATTTGAAATTCAAAATTGTCCTTCTCTTAGGCTGTTTCCCAATTCGCCCTTGCATGGAGTATTGCTGCCATATATGGTCTGGTGCCCCTTCAGTTTGCCTCGGGGTTCTTGATAGGCTCCAGAGGCGGATATGCAATGTAGTTGGCCCTGCTCTGGCATCTCGTCTACAGTCACTTTCTCACAGACGTGTTGTCGCCTCCCTCTGTCTGTTCTACAAATACTTTCATGGAAATTGCTCTGAGGAGCTGCATTCGCTGGTTCCCAGTCGTCATGAGTTCAAGCGCCCTAAAGGCTGGCATCCCGCTCTCCTCCTTCACTGTCTAAACTCCTAAATGTGAGGTTGTCTCTTCTACTCCAATAGCTTCATGTCTCACACATCTCGCCTGTGGAACTCCCTTCCCTATTCCAGTTTCCCTAAGAGCTATAATCTCCAGCTATTTAAGTGTAATGTCAATCGATATCTCCAGTTGCCTTGATCTTTCCACTACCCTCCTCATCATCCTTTCTTCTATCACTCCTATCTGATCTTGCTCTAAATTTTCTGTATCCCCTTGCGTTCTAGTGGCTTCCCGCCTTGCTTGGGGTGAAATGCTTAAAAAAAAAAAAAAGAGTTAGGTCTGCCTACTATTAACCCCTAACTAGGATGAGAAATGATTGATTTATACCCCTTTCCAAGGGTATCTGTGAGAAAGTAAACACAACAGTCTTGACTGGAATTTGAACCTGTGATGCTGTGCCTATTTTGAATTGTCCTAAAACTGTCCTAAAGTAATCAGACCTCTAACCGAATCTTTTGCCATCTTAGAATTAGTAGGCAATTCATCTTCCAATGAGACAACCTCAAGAAATACTTTGAAAACTACATCAAAATAGCTTTAAGATAAATAAAGTTAATGGAATGGCCTTCTCAATCACCTGACTTAATCCAATCGAATATCTGTGGAAAGAATTGAAAATGGCTGTTCATAAATGAAAGCTTTGAAATCTGACCAATTTGGAATGATTCACATTGAAGAGGAGTCGAAAATACCAGTTGAGAGATGCAGAAGCCTCAATGAAGGCTACAGGAAATGACTATTAGCAGTGACCAGTGCAAAAGGAACCTCAATTAAGTATGACATGAAGAGATCAAATAATTATGCAGTAGTCATTATCATAAGGTAACCATCATAGAAACTGTTTTACTAACTGAAAAATTAAACTGCCTTACAAATTGAATAGACAAATGTAATAAAAGCAATCTGAGAATAATCAATTGAAGAAAGATAAGGACAATAATGTCAAGGTCAAACAACTGTGTGTGTGTGTGTGTGTGTATATACAGGGGGTGATGGATAAATTGTCATTGAAATTGCACAAAAATGAAAATAACACTGACATCTTATTTCAATTGATATACTTACCAAAATTATAAAAAAATATCTTGAAATACTAAAGAGTAAATTTATTCAATAAAATCGCAATTGGCTTCAACCATGGCCTCCAGACAATTTTGGAATCTCCTGCAGCTCTTCTGGACTGTCTCCTTGCTTAAGTTGGTAAATTCTACCATAATCCTTACCTTCAGTTCGTCTTTGGTGTTACAAGGAGTTTTGTTGATCTGCCTCAACTGTACCCCACACATAATAATCAGGGGGGTTGCAATCTGGAGAGTTAGGTGGCCAGATGTAAGGGGTGATGTAGTTGCAGAAATTGACAGCTATGACTAGGTTCTCAGTGGCATGGTGCAGAATCCTTTTGTCAGACATAGGGTCTTCCAGCAGCCACCCTCTTGACATAGAGCAGAACTACCTCCTCAAAGAACTTGATGAAGGCCTCTGTGTAGAGTCTAAAGCCCTGTGAAAAGATGAATGGAGGCATAACTTTGCCATCACTAGTGATCACTCCAAACACCTTCGTAATCACTATCAGACTCATTCAACTCATTCCAAACGCTCTGCACTGTCCTCAGATTGACACCCAAACACTCTGAAATGAGGAGCTTCCAGTGCAAATGTCAAACAGTATAGCATGCCATTTCCAAATTTCTGGCAGAGTGAATTGCCTCATGGTGCTATTTTTCTCACAGACGGTGCTCAACTAACCCTACTATACTGTGTAGTTGACAAAATCATGCAACAAAAAATGTGTCAATCTATATCTATATAATACATGTGTCAGTGTGTCACACTTTTTCTACTTTATTCCTAGAGGCCATAGCCCAACATATCATACCATTTTGGAATCAGGCCAACTATGCAAGAAAATTAAAAACATTCTGGGCTGGTTCTGGACCCACAATCCTGAAATTTTGGATTCCCAAGTTTTCATTACTGTGATTGTTTTCAATGATTTGTTTTATGTAATTTTTTGTGACAAATCTTTTTGTACACTAAGAATTTTTATAACTTGGAAATACATTTGGGAATAATTGAAATTAATTGTGAAATCCAGCAAAAGTCGACCATGAAATAAAAATTGTTTGTACAGAAAATAAGGACATATGTACCTAAATTACCTTTAAATTAAGTGGCAGCAGAATAATTATCGTTGAACCTTTAAAAGGTAAGCTTAAATAAAAGGTGTTCCAATAACTTGGACTGATTTTAAATGTGAATTAAGTTTAAGTGTCTAATAATTTTTTTCTTTTTCTTTCAGATTTAACAACTTAAGTCTTTAGCAATTTCAACCATGAAAAGATTTGCAATCAAACAGTATGTTAAAGTTTCCTATTACGAAAATGGACATTCAAACAGAAACGCATTTCACACACTTTGAAATGTTTTTGGTCAATGTAATCGACCAACCGAGAGTGCAAATGGAAATGATGTAATGTTGTTGTGGAGAGGTTCAGTTCCTGCATGCAATGACAAATAGAGGGGGTCTGTATTTTCGTCCGCATTCTTGTGCACTGCAGCAATGTTTTCAACTGAACGGCATAAAACGAGCATGCAATGGTGTTTTCACATCTGCCACCAACCTAGTTTGTTTGAATTTACAAACAATTTTTCTAATTGCACTCTTGAAACTTTAACATGTTGTGATTGTTGATCTTTCCATGATTGAAATTGCCAAAGACTTAATTTGTTAAATCTAAAAGAAAAATATCATGAAATGTTTAAACTTAATTCACATTTAAAATCAGTCGAAGTTATTGGAACACCCATTATTAATGCAATACTTAAATGTGGCAGTTTTGAGTTTTTCTGTAGTTTATTGTTGCCTATTGCATATACTTCTCTTTACCTATTGTAATGAAGGCCTAATCAAGATCCCTATGCAGGATCTAGCTTAAATGCTGCCTGATGGGGTGGCTTTTAAGCTAATATTTAATATGAAACAAATTCTTGTCACATTGTTTTTTTATTTTTTGAAACTGTAGTCCATAGAGTTCATTTAACACATGGAATCCATCTTTTCTGCTAAAATCCAACTCCTTCAAAGGGCAGATAATCCATCCTTTTATTTAAGACAGAAGTAATGAAAATGTCAATAGAACCAACTAATTTTAAATATATCAGATTGAGTAAAAAGTAAGTTAGCAAGTGTATAATGCCTGGGCAAGATGAATATATTAAAATTACATACCATGTATATACCATATTAAAACACGCCCAAACTTTATTTTTTACCTAATAACAGACAATATTTACAAACATGCCAAAAAGATTCCACAGTATCACCTAGTGTCACCATGTGAAATATTTGACCAATCAGAAAAAACTAAAACTTTATTTTTCTTGAGCCTGCTTTCTGTAAAAAAAAAGAAAATATCTGTTGTATGAATATTTCCTCTTCTGGACGATATGTTAAAATGATGGACTTTCTGATTTATTTTCCTGAAACAAGCTACTGACACAACTTCATGCGTGTAAATTTGTAAATAAATTCCTTATCTTGTTTTGTTAAAATTACCTGTGTGTTTCCTTGTCATTATCATCCTTCATTAATCTTCTTGCCATGGGTAAATTAAATGTTCATTTTAGCCCTTAAGACCCATACCACTATAGAAGAATAGACTCCTTTATGGAGTGAAGAATTATCAGTGTAATAAATTCTTTACAAGGTCAATGCTGACTAATGTTTCAGTAGTCAAAGTGCTTTTGACTAATCTTTTAATCCATTTAGACTGCGATGATACAGATGTATTCTTGTCATTATCACCAACAAAGAAT